GGTTTAAAGTGTATTTTAGAGTCTGGTTTAGAGTGTATTTTAGAGTGTTTTAGAGTCTGGTTTAGAGTGTGTTTTAGTGTCTGGTTTAAAGTGTATTTTAGAATCTGGTTTAGAGTGTATTTTAGAGTGTTTTAGAGTCTGGTTTAGAGTGTGTGTTTTAGTGTCTGGTTTAAAGTGTATTTTAGAATCTGGTTTAGAGTGTATTTTAGAGTGTTTTAGAGTCTGGTTTAGAGTGTATTTTAGAGTGTTTTAGAGTCTGGTTTAGAGTGTGTGTTTTAGAGTGTATTTTAGAGTGTTTTAGAGTCTGGTTTAGAGTGTATTTTAGAGTGTTTTAGAGTCTGGTTTAGAGTGTGTGTTTTAGAGTGTATTTTAGAGTGTTTTAGAGTGTGTCAGCTGTCAGACGTTGGTGTGACAGCAGACATGAGCTCAGTAGGATTGAAGCAGGTTTCAGGCCTCGGTGAACACGAAGCTTCAGTCGGTCTCTGCGGCGCCCTCTGCTGCTCCGTCACCACTGCGGAGAGCCACAGGGCCGCTCCGCCACCTCCGCCCGCCCCACCCTGGCAACCGAGCGGCACCGGCAGCTGCCTGTCGCCACGGCAACCGGCCCAGATCGCCGGTCACCACAATGTGAGGTCAGTGTTTCCATGGCAACGGAGCAGATCAGCTGTAATCCGTCCTTGTTTGTGCACCGAGGGAGGCGGAGTCAGTCGCGGTCACGTGATCCCGTCTCACCCCCCCTCCTCCCTCTTTTTGTTTTTTGCTGCTTCTTAACAGCAATATTTTGCAGACGTGCGCTGCAGATCCTGCAGGAACAGGCGAAAGATTAGACTGAGCTGATGATGAAGAGGAGGAGGAGGAGGAGAGGAAAACGAGGTCACAGCAAACATGGAGAGCTGCAGCAGGAAGGACGGAGGAAGGACAAAGAGCTGATCTCAGGTCTCAGCTGTCAGCCTGACTTTGTTTGTTTTAGAATTTATTTATTACAGAATAAAAGGACTTTCAGGAAGTTTATTCTCGACTCATTCGATGATTTGAAATAAAAAAAAAACCTAAAGATTATTTGTAGTTCCTCCAGCTGCCACTAGAGGCAGTAATGAGTCATGTGTTCCTGATAAATCAACTAAATGATGATTGATGGATGAATAAATCAGAATAAACCCTGCAGAGGCAGGCGCAGGTTTTATTCATCAACAGGAAGTGCTGCCAAAGAGAAATAAACCAGACTTCCTGTCGTTTTCTTTTTTTAAGGACTAAAAAGAGACAAATGTTTGTGTTTTTTAACAAACTGCAGCCGCTGCACTTTGAATCCAGCAGCACATCCATCATCTGACTGCTGGTTTTTTCCTTTCACCCCCCCTTCTTCTCTGGCGTCTTTCAAACCACACAGAGCTTCCTGATTGGCTGGAAAGGAAGGGCTTGACGTGAGTGGGCGGGCAACAGCAGCCAATCAGGGACCGTGTTTGTCTCCCCTCCCCCGCCCACCATTTCAAACAAAATCCCCTCTTGAGGTGAATTTTGGCCCCGCCCCCTCCTCCAGTATGTTTGAACAGCAGCCAATCAGACACTGCCTCCATTGTCCCACCCCCCTCTAATATTTACCCCACCCCTTTGGAACAGCAGCAGCCTGCACAATGGAGTCCACCCCTCCTCTTCCTCACCTTCCTCCCCCAGCCCTTGCTGTTTGCAGATCTCCTCCTCCTCTCCGTTATAAATAACCTGGCGGCCATCTTGTCTCCCTCCTCTGCTCGTTAACAGGAAGGAGAGCGGGGGAGGGGGAGGGGACTCTCGGGACAAACACGACAGAACCAGGCCTTAAATCTTCGGCTGAAAAATCACTGTTTTGTGTGTCGACCTGAGACCGTCCTCTCCCAGTTCTGGACCAGGTCCCAGTCCTTTTCCACGGGACATTTGCATACCCGGGTCCAGATGGTCTGTTTGGGTTTCGTCTGGGTGACAAAAGAACCACAGCTGTTGATCTCACAGCTCGTCTGGTTCTTATGGAAAAATCAAAAGCTTAGCTTAGCACAAAGACTGGAAGTAAAGGGAAACTGTTAGCATCGGCCCTAAAACAGAAAATCTCAAGATGGCTGCTGTAAATAATGAAAGCTGAACAGAACCCGGTCAGTCTCAGGGACTGGGTCAGAACTGGGTGTGGTTTTAAACTACATTAATAAACATCTGAGGTTAGCTTAGCACAAAGCCTTCCTCTCAGGTTGGAAGGAAACAGAAGCTTGGCTCACATTTTCAGATGAATTTATCAAACATTTCGAAGGATCAAAACAAAAACATTCAGTTATTGATCTAATATTAATAATTAGTGACTTAGTGACACTTTCAGACAGAACCTGTTTAACTGCAGGAAACATTTAGAGAAAAACACAAAGCTGCGGTGGAGTCGACCCGTTTCAGACACTTCCTGTAAACACAGAAAGGTAAACAACCCACAGGACAGGAAGTTCTACCTGAAGAGTCTGACCCAACTGCAGCTGTTGTGTTTTATACAAACATCCTGTTGGTTTTAATCAAACTCTTTCCAATGGGTCAGTAATCTTTATTCTCTTTACTCAGACGGTTAACGGGCCGACCGTCCTCTTCCTGCTTTGAAGAGGAAGTTCCACTGAACCAGGAAGCTTCAGGTTCCTTCAGAGAGGAACTCCTCCTTCAAACAGAAAGCAGCTGAACAGGCCCGGCTCTGTGACTAAAGTCCGTTTACGGTGGTTTCTGTTTTCTGCTGGGGAAGAGGAGGAACCTGATGAAGGTTTCTTTCTGCAGAGACTGAAGGAATGACGAGAGCCGGGCAGGAGGGAGCCTTCTTACTTCTTCGACAACGCCATGCTGAAACACAAAACAGGTTCTACTGAGTCAGGACAGAAAGGGTTCAGCATAAAACCTGATCTCTCTTCTAGAGCTTTTTAACTAAACAGGAAGTGAACAAACCCAGAAACAGATTTAAATTAGAGGAAACCTGAAAACTGACCCACACCTGCTGCTGCTTAGCTTAGCTTAGCACAAATACTGGAAGCAGAGGGAAACTGTTAGCATCGCCCCAATAAAACACAACCTAATTATAATCTTTTTAAAATTTCACTTCCTGTTTGTCAGCAGCTGACTCTGGTGTGATAAACAAGCCTGTGTTAGCAAAATATCTCGTGAAACACTAGACACATCCTAATTAAATAAATATAAACCATTTAAAAACGTACATCTGTCATAAAGAAACTTATAAAATCTCTCAAAGTCCTCAGAGTCTGAGTTGTGGGTGACTGTCAGCTACTACCACAGCAGACCTGACTCAGTTCATCTGCAGATGTTTGTGTTAAAAACAGAATTACAGTCATAATTCAGACATGAGGCGCAGCTGATGGTGTTTTATTTTGAAGGAGACATTTATCTAAACAGTTTTATTCTCTCTAAAAGGTTGAGACTAGAAGTTCAGAAAGGAGTCAGCGTGTCTCTGACCTCCGTTTGCTTTATTTGTTTAAGATTAAAGTTGAGAAACGTTCCTTCAGACCATGTTTATCCTGAGTTAAACTTCAGGTTCAAAGCAGGAGGAAGAGGATTTTTACAGGTTCTGGACTCGTTTGGAGAAAAACTGCAGATAAATGTTGTTTTTAAAGATTAAAACTCAGTTTCTTCAAAACATCAAAGGGTGAGGACAGGTGAGGACAGGTGTGGACAGGTGTGGACAGGTGAGGACAGGTGTGGACAGGTAAGGACTCACTTGAAGCTCTCTCTGTCCTGCAGGTTCAGCACCAGGCTGTCAGCGTTCAGGTAGACTTTGTTCTGGGACTGGGACATCTGCAGGTCAGACACAAACAGGATGAGACGACACAAACAGAACCCTGACACAGGTCAGAACCATCATCATCATCATCATCATCATCACCTAATTAAAACATCAGTTTGACACTTGAACCTGTCTGAAGGTCAAAGGATAAAGGTCAGAGCTGAAGCTTTCCTGCTTCCTGTTGTTCTGTCGCCACCTGCTGGAAGTTTTGATCACCTGCAGGATTTAAAGTTGAACCTAAAGAAAGAGCTGCAGCTGATCATCAGCCAAAAGATTCAACTCTCACAGCTGAACGCCTCAAACCGACACAGTTATTGTTCAAAGTTTCTTCCTTGTTCAGTGAAAGTTGACTAATGTTGCAGAAGAAAAACAAACTGAAACAAACTGGTTCTTACAGCAGCTACACCCAACACCAGCAGATAATTACAGCAGCTTTAATCTGAGGGATTCAAACCTGCAGCTGCTGACTCATCTGAAAAACCTGAACTGTTTCTTTTAGCTGACGTTGCTGTTTTATTCTTAACGGACTGATTGTTGCAACAAAAACAAAGATTTAATATTTTAAAACCAGAATGAAACAGCTGAAAACTAAAACATGATCCTGTCTTTAGCAACCAAAAAGACTGGCTGAAGAGAGGAGAAAACAACAACAACAGCTGTTTTTATTTACTTTCTTCTCTTTAGTTGGAAACTGTGTTTTTGTTTAAATAAGTATTTAAATTTTAAATCCTGGTTTTGCAGCAGGAATTGGAACCTGAAGTGTTTCTCTTCAGATAAACTCACGGCTAACAAACTCGTCAGAAAGAACCCGTCAGAACGAACCCGTCAGAACTTACCCATCAGAACGAACCCGTCAGAACGAACCCGTCGGAACTTACCCATCAGAACTAACTAACTTGTCAGAACTTACCCATCAGAACTAACTCGTCAGAACTTACCCATCAGAACTAACCCGTCAGAACTAACTAACTCGTCAGAACTTACCCATCAGAACTAACCCGTCAGAACTAACTAACTCGTCAGAACTTACCC